CTTTTTTTTTTTTTTTGAGACAGATCTCACTTTGTCACCCTCAGTAGAGCGTCATGGCTTCATAGCTCACAGTAACCTCAAAGTCTTGGGCTCAAGTGATTCTCTTGCCTTAGGCTCCCAAATAGCTGGGACTACAGGTGCCCCCCACAACGCCTGGCTATTTTTTTTTTTAGGAATCAGCCATCGTTGTTGTTTGGGGGGCCCGGGCTGGATTCGAACCCGCCACCTTAGGTGTATGTGGCTGGCGCCTTAGCCACTTGAGCCACGGGCGCCAAGCCTTATATATTTATTTTCTGTTTACTATCTACCTTCCCCACTAGAAAGTAAACTCCATGAGGGCAGGAACTTTGTTTTGTTCATTACTATTTCTCCTGCATCTGAAAATGGGCTGGCACAGCCAAGATGTGTACATACTTATACGGCAAATGAACGTAAGGCCCTATGAGTCCCCATGAAAGACTGTCACACAGGGTGGAGTGTACATGAATAATATTTGTTAGTCACCCCTGAGATCTCTGTGGCTGCCCCATTACCAGAGTTTCAGGCTATTAGACAGGTGAAGGAAAAATAATTAAGACACAGGCACTGTGGGGCTCAAATTATAGTACATATTTTTGCAATGCAGCAAGAGGTCTTAAATTCAGGTTAAAGCAAGAGGAAAGAAAAGTTAATACAATCTATTACAACTCTATTTGCCTCCCTTCCTTACAAGCACTCCAGGTATACTCACACATACACAATCCTAACAAGGTGAATACCCTTGTTATAAAGTGAAAACATATGCCCCTAAAATTCATATGTTGATGCCCTAACCTCCAGTACCTCAAAATGTTTGTTTTGCTTTTTTTTTTTTTTTTTTGGCAGTTTTTGACAGGGGCTGGGTTTGAACCCACCACCTCCGGCATATGGGGCTGGCACCCTACTCCTTTGAGCCATAGGTGCTGCCCCTCAAAATGTTACTGTATTTGGAGACAGGGCCCTTAAGGAGGTAATTAAGGTTAAATGAGGTAATAAATGTGGATCCCTAATCTACTACGACTGGTTTCCTCATAAGAAAAGTTGCCAGGGATGCTCATGTACAAAGAAAAAGCCATGTGAGGACACAGTAAGAGGGCAGCCATCTGCAAGGCACAGAGAGAAGCCTCAGGAGAACCAAACCTGCTCACACCTTGAACTTGGACTTCTAGCCTCCTGAACTGTGAGAAAATCAATTTCTGGGCTCAGTGCCTATAGTTCAGCTGTTAGGGTACCAGCCACATATACCAGAGCTAGCGGGTTCCAACCCAGCCTGGGCCTGCCAAACAACTACCACCAAAAAATAGCCAGGCATTGTGGCGGGAGCCTGTAGCTCCAGCTACTTGGGAGGCTGAGACAAGAGAATTGCTTAAGCCCAAGAGTTTGAAGTTGCTGTGAGCTGTGATGCCATAGCACTCTACCCAGGGCAACATAGTGAGACTGTCTCAAAAAGAAAAAAAGAAAGAAAATCAATTTCTGTTGTTTAAGCCTCCTAGTCTGTGGTATTTCATTATGGTAGCCCCAGAAGACTAACACACACGTGCATGCACACAGACAGAATTTTGCAGCAGGAAAAACACACCATCAGGCCTCCGAGCACAGCAGTAGGGTGAGGCTTAATACTATTTCTGCTTCAGTACAAACAAGGCCATATCTGAAAGGCTTTGTCTGTCCCACGTTTCCTCCATTCACACAGATGCCAGTTTCTAGCCTGGAAAAAGACAGAAACCAAAAAAAAAAAAAAACACAAAAATAGCCAGAGACAGCATTCAGCATACATTCACTTCCCAACTCCACCACAGCTCAAATGCCACCTCAAAAGATGCTCAGCCAACCAGACTACCTCAAGATACAGCACGCTCTCCCTTCTTACAACTATAGCCCTACAATCAACAAGTGCTGCCTTGTATTGATAATTGCCTCTCCTAAAAATTGGTCAAATACTGATTTTAACAGCAATATAGGTTATAATGTTACCCTCCTCCAAACCAAGAGCTGGAAGTCTTTCACTCTTGTGTATTTCTCCAAACACAAGCATATGGCTGGGCACATAGGTACTCATTCATTCATTCATTCATTCACTAATCAACAAATATTTACTGGGGACCTACAATGTGCCAGGCACCATGGGAGGCAATGTGAACCAGACAGGCACAGTACCTACCCTTAAGACATTTACATTCTAGCTAAGAAGACTGATATTAACAAACAATACATGTCACTACAATTGGGATACGTGCTATGAATAACCACCAGACACATCTGCTTATGTCTGTGCATGCTGGTCGGCTGCCTGTCACACTCCCCTGCACAAACCCTCCTCTATTCCAGCCACACATAATGATGACCCTGTCTCTCTCAATGCTCCCGGCAAGCCAACACCGAGACTCCCACACCCCCAATACAGTCAGGATCCAGTTATAGCACAGCATCGGCAAATATGCAGGGTCTCCCCCTAGTGCAAGCCAAATGCCGCAGGCCTCACATCCAGAGGATGCTCCCGCCAGGCTGAGGTGGAGTGGAGAAAGGGCCTCCATCCTCCACGCATCAGGAGGGTAGGGGCACAGGTGGCCCGGACAGGGCTCTGGGACCTGGCGAATCCTCTTTCTACTGAGCCCTTCACGCTGTCTTCCCAGGTGCTGTCTGGGCCGGAAGGCTCCCGCGGAACCATATACCCGGCCCTGGGAGCAGGTTCTACAGTCCCGACCCCACCATCTAGCAGGCCCCTAAGTCACGCCATGAAGACCCTTCCCTCCCCGCCTTCTTTCAGCTCCCAGGCCAGGATCTTCCAACCCCGAACTCGGCTGGGACCTTGGCCGCTCTGCCCCTGCACCACCCACGTCAAGGCCGGGCGTCCCGGCTTCCCGCAGCCCCTAGTCCCAGCCCCGACCCGGGGGCGGAGTCACGTACCCAGGCGAAGAGCGCGGCCGCCGCGGGGGCGGCCTCCGAGGCGCGTGGCTCGCGCTCCATGCGTGCACACGCCGCCAGGCTTCCGGGAGAGACCGCGCGGAGGCGGGGCCCGCCGGGAGAGGGGCGGGTGACGAGAAGACCCCGGCAATGGTCGGAATTGGCGGCGGGAGGAGGGACGCTGAGGAGCAGGGGCCTCGGGGGCGGGGCAAGTGGGGGCGGAGTCTACGGGATGGGAGGGGCAGGCCCTGTGGGGGTGGGGCCGGCGCGGGGACCGTGAGTGGCTGGCAGAGGCCGGCAGAGGAGCGCGCGGGTTGGAGGGTTGGCGGAGGAAGCGGCGGGAGGCCAAGTTCTCAGGCCTCCGCGACCAAGTAGCCAGTCCAAGTCGCCAGCTCTGGGAGTGCCGTGGTGTCTCCTCCTCCGGCCTCTTGTCTCCCTCCCCTTGCACTCTTTATTTTTAGAAATAATTCCAGAGAGGTGCACTACGCTCCACAATTCCCAAAGCTTCTCGTTTCTGTCTCTCGACGTCCCACACCAACCCACGGGGGCTGACAAGGCAAGGATTGTACCATATCTTTTGACTGGGGTGGAAATTGAGCCTGAGGACTGGAAAGGGCGCTGTCTGGTGTCTTAGGAGGACCTGTCTTGCGCCCGCTTTGGTGTACGTTTGCAAAATCTGGGAGAGCGTCTTGGTAGCTGGTGTCGCGCCCCGCGCCTGGCACCGAGGACACTCTCACCTCGCGACACTAATTTTCAGTAAAATATGTCAGTATTGACTGGGTAATGTCCACCGAACGAACATTTTCATATAAAATGGCTTTATTAAATAAGTACAATTTTCCTGAAAGAAAATGTGGCAATGTCTACTGGGAGTATGGAACACATGGGGTCACATTAAAGATGGTAATCCTCGTTCAGGCAATTAGCCCCTAAATCAACATCCTCTGTGTCGCCAGATGATTAAGGCTCCACCCGTCATTTTGCACGGGAGCACCTGGGAATTGTCTCAGGAAAGCTCTTACACGATTCTTTCCTCTTCCTTCCCTCTATCCCTCCTTGGTGTTTCTGCCTGTAAGACCGCTTGAGGGCAGCGCCTCAACTTGGCCGCTCCAGCCTGTGGCATCTTGAAAACATGGCCGTACTAGGAAAAATGCATCTTTTTTAGAGAAGCAAAGCAGCTTTTCATTCTCCAGGGACCTCAATGTGCAAAAACTTTACCATGCCTGCTGTTTCAGAAGAATGGGCTTTTATTGTTTTGAGGATTCCTTTTAAGCATGTATAATGGGATGTAAAAATAAGGCCCTTCCCATCTCAGTTTTGGAGGAGACTTGAAGGAAGTAAGTGCCAGTTACTCCCACATTATAAAGAGAGGGGCAACACCATCAAAGCAGAAGTTGGAAACCATGTCTAGAAACCAATGTGTGACTTCCAATCTATGAAAAAGACTGGAAAGGCTAGAGAGAGTTCTAACAGGATATGTGGATCGCTGTTGTCAATGTGGATCCCATTTAGCACTTACCTAAGGAAAGGTACTTCTGAGCAGAGCCACTAAGAGTTTGGGACTCAGGAAGGCTACTGTCCAATTCATGCTGACAAATCCCAGGGCTTGTGCCTACATAATGCTCTGATAGTTGAGGAAAGGGAGATTGATGCTTTGGGCAGGTATTTCATGCCCAGAGTTTTTTGACTGAGTATCTCCCATGCATGCGCATTGGCTGGGGAACGGTGTTAAGCCCTGTCCAGAGGAATTTCTAGAGGGGTAAAGTAACACCCACACCATAGCTGACCACTAAATTTCCTTGAGGCTGAGAAAGATGAATTCAACAGCCCAGTCGGAAAGGTAAATATACACCATACACCTACATCAAGAGATCCTGAGATCTACAGAATCACTGGTCTTCTGACAAAGTTTGGTAGACCTAAAAAAAGAGAGAGAGAGATCCTGAAAAATAAGGAGGTGGAGAGGTCTTCCAAAACACACACAAGAAGGAGTTAGCATTAAATACTCACCAAGGACAGAAAACACTGATGCTGATTCACAGCGGTAGGAGAGCAAAATGAATTTTCCTACTCCTTACCTCTCTCTCCTTCCCACTACCACGCCCCAATCCAGGGAGAGTCCAAGACATCCTAATGAGTGTGGAAGGAGGAGAAGGAAGAAGCTAAGCACACCCCTTCTTTCTCAGTTCCAGAGGAGGAGAAAAGCTTTAACCTTACAATTTGATTTTTGTGAATTTTTACCAAGGACTGGACTTTTTATATTAAAATGAGAAAGAGAGAGATTAGAAAAAACTAAGTACTTTTTATTATCTCTGAGTAAGCAGAAAACAAGAAAGCAACCTGAGAACTACCTGCAGAGCCAGTTTTAGTAAAGGGTCTGGGAGAATGCAACTGTCTTTGGATTTCACCCCTTGAATGTACATGCATCAATACTTTACCCTACAGCTATATTATATCCCTTAATACAATTTCTTGGAAGTATTGAGATGTTGCGGGTATTTCAACTATGTACGTGCCAGTGAGGAGTTCATCCCATGACTAGCCTCATTGAATTGCAATTCTTAAATGGGGCTAGATTTAAAATGTTCAATGATTTCACTTTCAGATGCCTCTTCTCCTAAGAGGAAAGCATATTTGAAACCACACAGACAACATTTCTGTACTATACAGTTTAGAAAATTTTTTCTATTTAATTATTTTACTTGATCCCCCTCCCAATAATACTAGCTTGATAAATGTTGTTAGGATCATTATTTTATGGATGAGAAAAACGAGGCTCAAAGAAATCAAATGAGTTACTCCAAGGTCAGTTTTTCACCTTTGATAAAAGAAGATTAGCTAACTGGAAACCAATATTCTCACTAAAAACAACTAGAAAAGCTGGCAGAAAATATTTTTAAAATCTGTTTCAAGTCATTGAAAAACTATCAAAATAGCAAGAACTTACAGAGCCTAGATCTGGAAACTGAGAGATTATATTTGGCACTATTTTTCTTCTTGAAGCACTTACTAATTAGCAAGCAATGTCTTAGAGGCTAAGAAATGGACCAAAAGCAGCAGCTGGGAAACTGAGAAGTAGAGCAGTACTTTTAGCAATCTTGCAGGCATTGAGTGAGGGGACAGGACAGTGAGTGAAGGAGAGGACAAAAGTAGGAGTCTGGGACCCCCAACAAGAAGCCCTGGTACATAGTCATAGCTTGGGATCCCTCAAGTTCTACACCCAGAAGAGTAGAGGTGAACTGGAAATAGACCAGCCCTCACAGAGACTGAAGCTCAGCTTCTGACTGGCTCAATCCGTAACAAGACTAAGAAGATTTTGGCAGGCCATTATATGCTGCCCGCTAGAAGGAAAACTTAATCCCTTCTTAAAGAAAATAGCTAAGGGGGAATCTCTGATTAAGAAAGTGATTATATGAATGATTCGTTAGGCATAGAAAATAAGAGTTTTGTTTTGTTTTTTTAACAAAGTCATCTCATGGCATAATTTCTCCAATAACCCAATATGGTAGAATTAGCTCATTTTACAGATAAGAAACATGAGATTGAAACTTTACCAAGAACTCTGAAAAGCTGTTACTAGACTTCGGGTGTGTTTGGCTTCTGTCTCATATCTATAGGCTTTTTAAAAAGTATAATGGAATTCTTAAACTAATAAAATTGCTAATATAAATTTGAATCCATTTTTAATGTATATTTGACAAAAAATACATGTTAAGGACATAAATTTTGTGTTCATTTATTATCCAGTTGAATAACAAACTTATAAATCAAAAATGTATATTACCCAGTAAAACAAAAGATTAGACTGAAATACACCACGATATACACTTCCTAGAAATCAATATATAAACTTTATTATATGTTCTTTTAGTGAATTCCAAGATTTTTTTCTTTTTTCAATTTGGAAGCCTACTTAAAACGAATAATGAGTCTGTACATTTTGGTATGTCATTATTACTTGTATAACTCTGAATGACAAAATATTCAGATAAAGAAACATAGGCATGCTGACAATCAGCTTTTGGGCTTCCTTTAAAAAGTCAGGAGGACAATGTATACCGTTTAGATGATGGGTACACTAAAAGTCCAGACTGAGGCTAGGCAGGATGGATAATGCCTACAATCCTAGCACTCTGGGAAGCAGAGGTGGGTGGACTGCCTGAGCACATGACCAGCCTAAGCCAGAGGGAGACCTCACCTCCATCTCTAAAAAATAGCCAGGCATTGTGGCAGGCGCCTATAGTCCCAGTACTTGGGAGGCTGAGGCAAGAAAATCACTTGAGCCCAAGAATTTGAGATTGCTGTGAACTATGACACCATGGGATTCTACTGAGGGCAACAAAGTGAGAGTCTTTGTCTCAAAAGAAAAAAAGCCCAGACTGAAATACAATTCATCCATGTAACCCCAAACCACTTATACCCCAAATCTATCAAAATAAAAACAAAAGTCAGAAGGATGCCTTTTATGCCTACTATGCCTCCAAGTCATGATTTACTGATTAAGAATTATGAACCAAGATTTTAGTTTAATTCTCTTCTCATATTTGAATAATTATTGACATATTCTTAGATGCTTTAAAGACATATATTGTAAATGCATGAAAATTCTAAGACTCTCAGGACTCCCAATTTACCAGTCTCACAAACCCAGAGGTTAGAAGAAAGCTCTGAAATCTATCATTGAATATTTCCATTGTTCTGAAGCTGCGAATTATAGGGTTATACCCTTAACATTTATTTTAGTGCACTATAGTCATAGACTGATTTTAAACACTATCATTTTAAAATTCAACAACTATGATTCTTCACCATGATCAAAGATATATGAAAATAACCAGATACAGTATGCATAATTTGCTGTTATTTGCTATCTATTATAATTTGCTTACAATAGATTTCCTTGCAACCAAATTAACTATAAATCAGCTAATCAATATTTCAAATGACTTCAGATTTGCTAACAGATCTCTTTACTATCAAATATATTCTTAAGAGTTGATTAGCTATTAAAATGTATATGTATCATAAAAATCTGAAATAGCATGAATTATTCTTCCATATTCTATGTCTTTGCATAATATGAAATGAAATACATTTTTAAAGTTTTTCATAAT